ACCAGGGTGCAAGCGGATGACGGTTTAAGAGTCTACCGCGTCAGCCCAGGCCGGACACCAGAGTGGTCAGATACAGATTTAAGTCATGATGCTGAGTTATTCCCTTCAGTTTTATTTTCTCTGGTCCCGAAGTAACTCCCAGCGCTCTCCCAAGCACCCTGCCATCACAGACACTAACCCGTGTTTTTTACAGATTTATTTACTTATTGGAAACACAGTTACAGAGAAAGAGGGAGAGACAGAAAAAAATCTTCCATCCGCTGGTTCATGGCCCAGAGGGCCACAATGGCCAGGCAGGAGCCAGGAGCTTCTTCCAGGTCTCCCATGTGGGTGCAGGGGCCCAGGACTTGGGGCATCTTCTGCTGCTTTTCCCAGGCCATTAGCAGGGAGCTGGATCAGAAGTGGAGCAGCTGGGACAAGAACCGGTGCCCATATGGGATGCTGGCATTGCAGGCAGTGGCTTAACCCGCTGTGCCCCAGCGCCTGCCCTTGACCCATAATTTTAAGCAAACAACCACAGGAAGTGGTCATCTGGTTATCAGTCAAAACCAGTGACTCCAGTGCCACCCAAGTAGGGGCCTTGGGGGTCTGGAGGGGCGCAGTGTGCACCTGCCCCCAGCAGCCGTGGGCTGCCTTGGCCCAGGAGAGGCAGACCCTGGGTCAGGTCTCCGTCCTGAAAGCCGTGGCACCTGCTGAGTGCCTCAGACGGCCGCTGCCACAATCCAGGCCTTGGGGAGAGCGGATGGAGGCTGCATTGGACACTCCCGGTGCAGGCGGTGATCAGTCCAAAAACGAGGATTTTTACCACTTTGCAAGCTCATCGTCTTGTACGTCAAAAAATAGAACTAGCACATGAAATCCATAATTGGCAACTATTTGGATTGAGATGAAAGTTCTGTGAAGTCCCAAAAATATCAGATAATCAATTTGGAGCCCCAAAAAGCCATCGCAAATGGGTGAAGAGTCTCAGGGGCTGGGCGGGGAGTGGGGCACGGAGGGCTGGTGGTCAGGGCTGGGGCCCTAGAGTTCAGGTCCCGGGTCCCGGAGAGGAGTGACCTCCCTCAGGGTGACCTCCCTCCCAGCCGAGTGTGCTGGGGAGGTTCGGGCCGGAGAGGAGCCGCCCCAGCTGTTTTGTCTGCTCGTCCCCAGACTGATGTTGGTCAAAACGAGTTTGGGTTGGCGGGCCCAGCCTCGTCCCAAACTCCTGTTGATTTCTGCGTGGCCGCGGCTTCCAGGCGCCTTCCTGGCACCAGCGCCATCCACGCGCCTCAGGCTGGGCTGGGCTGGGCCGGGCTGGGCCGGGCTGGGCACGGGGTCCTGGCGGTAGCTGTGGTGCCTCGGGGGTGGTTTGCAGCACACACTTCGCTGCTGTGCCAGATTCAGTTAAGCTGCTCTCATCCCCACTGAGGGCTCGCGGGGAGCGAGCGGGTTGACGTGGTGGTCTCCACGGGCTCACTGGCCACGCGCACAGAGCTGTGGCTAAGAGCACACCACGGCTCGTGTCCCTGAGTCGCTGGGGTGGGGTGGGGGTTGAGAGCGCCTGGACCCTCCGGCTTTGAGCGCATTAAAAATAAACGATTCCATGGCCAACCCGGCATTCAGGGCGGCTGCCTACGACGGATTATTCAGCAGGTGGCGGCTGGGCGAGGGGTCGGAGGCCCCGCGGGGCCTTTGTGCTGTGGTCCCTGGAGAATAGGAGAGGCCAAGGCCTCGCTGCCGGCTGCTTTGTCCTGTCTCGTGGGATTTGAGGACTGGAGGCTTAAGGGTTGCTTATTCCTGGAGTGCACAGGATTTGCACAGCCGAGAGAGGCTTAGGGGACGCCTACTGTGTGCCAGGCAGTGTTCCCGGCTTTGGGGCTGGCACTGGGGAGCACAGTCAGTAATCTTGGCCCTTGGACCACCGGAGACAGCAAACCAGATAAGTACACAGATATGCAAATACGCCAGCACGCAGAGCAGCCAACCTCAAACAGGTTAAGCCGCCGCCTGCGACGCTACCATCCTGTATCAGAGCGCTGGTTCGAGTCCTGGCAGCTCCACCTCTGATCCAGCTCCCTGCTAGTGCACCTTGGGAAGGCAGTGGAGGATGGCTTAAGTATTTGGGCCCCTGCACCCACATGGGAGGCACAAATGGAATTCCTGGCTCCCGGCTTCAGCCTGGCCCAGTCCTGGCCATTGTGGCCATTTGGGAGGGAACCAACAGATGACAGCACACTGGGCCACCCACTGCTGGCGTGGTGGCTAAAGTCACCCGTGCAAACACTAGGGGACCCTCTGAGCCCCACTGCAGCCAGGGGTTAACCAAGAGCGCAGGGACATCTTTGTGCGTCCTCCCATGAATGTGAACCCCAGCGCCCCGCCAGCCACCCGACCATGCTGGGCCTCAGTCCTCACCACCTTCCGAGCGGAGCCCCCTTGAGCGTCATTCAGGCCCCCAGCTCCGTTCCCTGTTCCCTAAGATGGTGAGAGAAGCAAATGACGCATCGCGTGCCCAGCCATGAACAGCCAGTGACACAGCGATTGTTACTGTGGTTGTGGGGCGCTGCCCCCTGCCCCAGGGGTGACGTGCAGCCGTCAGCCACTTAGATTCCAGGAGCTGCGCTATCAGCCCCTCCAGGGACCCGGCGAAGTTGGTGTAAGACTACAGGGGGAAGGGGCTGTGCTGTGGTGTAGCAGATAAAGCCACCGCCTGCAGCACCGCATCCCTTAAGGGCACTGATTCGAGTCCCGGCTGCTCCAGTTTTGATCCAGCTCCCTGCTGATGTCCTTGGGCCCCTGCACCCACATGGGGGCACCCAGAGGAAGCTCCTGGCTCTTGGCTTCAGACCAGCTCGGTTCTGGGTGATGGCTATTTGGGGCGTGAACCAGCAGATGGAAACTCTCTCTGTAACTCTGCCTTTCAAATAAATAAAGCTTAAAAAAAAAAAAAATGAGGGCATGTGGCAAAGAAAAGCACACGTGAGCTGTTTGATGCTAATTAAGGTCAGATTTTTCTAGATCCACGCACAGGGTCTGTGGCCGTACACCAGTCTGGGCTCCTGAGTGTCCTGGGAACCCCAGAGAGGAAGGTCACAGCAGGCGTTTGCTGAGCACCTACTATGTGCTGGGTCCTGGTAGGGTTGGAAATAAAGCAGGGAAAACGTCAGGGAGTCCCTGCCTCACGCAGCTGCTCTGCTGAGCTGCTTCCCTGAGGGCCTCGCTCCTAACCCAGGTATCTCAGGGTCGCCCAGGGCGGAGTGGAGACACCTGCGTTGTGTCTGTGCTGGGCTGGAATCCTCAGGCCCTGAGCTCGAGGACACCTGCCGCTCGCCCTCCCAGGGGCTCCCACTGACTGTGAAGTCCCCTGTGCCGCGCAGCGCCTGCCAGGATGGCCTGGGGCCCTGCCTGACCCGAGTCTGCCCCACTCCCTTTGCAGGCTGTGCTGAGCAGGGCCAGCTGGTGAGGGGAGGCCCTGCACCCGGCAAAACCTAATTGTGCACCAGTCACAGCTGGAGCCGACCCGGCCCTCCAGGCACTTCGGAAGGAGATAGGAAGCAGCCCTGGTGTGAGCTCCCTCGGGTGCTACGAAGGTGACCTTTGGTTTGAGTGCTGAACGTGGGTTCTGCCAGCCCAAAGTCTCAGGGAGAGAACCCCAGGCAGAGGCAGTAGCACAGGCAGGGGTGAGTTCGGAGCTCCTGGGAGATCCGGTGAGCAAGCCGAGAGCAAAGGGCAGGCGCCGGTGGACGCCGCAGGGAGGAACTGGGTCGTAGTCTCAGTGCAAGGGGAGACTCCCGCTTGCGTGCTTAGAGGCAGTGACGAGATCCAGTCGCTGCCCCAGGGACCGTCTCCGGGTTTCCGTCCCTGGTCGGCAGAAAGATGGGACAAGAAAGCCCAAAGGGTCAGAAGGCGGAGGGTCTGCTTCGTTGTTTGGGGGGTCTCTGGGGGCTGCTGATGGGGGTCATAGCTCCTGGCAAGAACCTCAGGTGCCTGGTGCACCCACAAATTCCCAGACAGCGGGGACTTAGTCTCTTGGGGTTCTGGAGTTGTCGCAGGGCTGTGCTTGCCCCGAAGGCTCCAGGGGAGCAGACCCTTCCAGCTTCGGGGGGCCCAGGGCGCCCCTTGGCTTATGGCTGCATCAGGCCAGTCTGCTCGCTGCAGAGACACCTGTCATTGGGTTTCGGCCCCTCCCCAATAACTCCCAAATGATCAGATCCTTAACATACATCTGCAAACTCTTCGAGACCTGCACGGCCTGGGCGGGAAAGCTGAGGCTGGCCTTGGCAGAGAAGAGTCCCATGAGCTCTGCTAAGCGCTCGGCACGGAGGAGGTGTGCGGTGACGCAGCCAGGCCACCCATGCTTGCTGAGTGCCTCCTGCGTCACACGCCGTCGCGGCGCCCAGGATCCGGTGCTGAGCAGGGCAGTGGCCTGCACACAGTAGGGCTCCCACCCGCTCTCCTCCATCATCCTTGGGAACAGGTGCGAGTGAAGGCACACTGCCTGGTGTGTGTCATTAAGTCCCAGGGACACGTGCTGGGGGCGGGGCCACCAGACGCCTGCCAGACCCCCGGGGGCCCCCTGGGAGCAGCACGGCCGACAGGGTCCATGTGGAAGAATGGGGTTCTGGGCTCCAAGAACAGAGCGGACCCAGGAGGCGAGCGTGGTTCAAGGCGGGCGCAGGGCGTCTCGGCCGCGGAGTATTCCGGGGAAAGGTAGTGAACAATCCTTGGGAAGGCGCCAAGCAAACACAGCACAGTCTCCCCACAGCCTCCTAGTGGTTGCTTGGCAGAAAGGGAAAGATAACCGTGTTTGTTCGTGCCTGCAGAAAAGCGTCCCGGGTCACCTACCCCCACGTTTCCACCTGCATCACCGGCGTGTCCAGGGGGACTCAGGACCACAGTGCCCTGCTGTCCCCTCCCCCTTAGATTTCCAAAATGGGCCCCTGCAGGCAGGGGCGGGGGGAGGGCCTGCGCTGGTGGCTGGCTCCAGGCCCCCCCTCACCTGTGCCCTGTGCTGCTTGCAGGTTCCATGCAGGTGATGAACAAGACGCGGCGCATCATGGGGCAGGGAGGGGCGCACTTCATCAACGCCTTCGTGACCACGCCCATGTGCTGCCCCTCGCGCTCGTCCATCCTCACCGGCAAGTACGTGCACAACCACAACACCTACACCAACAACGAGAACTGCTCCTCACCCTCCTGGCAGGCGCAGCACGAGAGCCGCACCTTCGCCGTGTACCTCAACAGCACCGGCTACCGCACAGGTGAGCCCCTCGCGCCGCGGGCGTCCTGCCTGGGACCCAAGTGACGGGGGTGGTTTGAGTGGGAGTGACGTGTGGGACAGGCGCCTCCTCGGGCTGGGCGGCTTCCCCGCTCCCAGACAGGGGGGCAGCCGGTACGATGGGTCCTCTGCACGCCCCTCCCACTGCTGGAATCCTCTAGAAGGCAGGTCCCACTGAGAGAGCGAGGGACGGCCAACACACCCCGCGTGTCCTGCGGGCTCCAGTCCTCTGCGGAGAGCCACGTGTGCAGAGGGCACGCTGGGCCACCACCCTGGGTGGCTGGGGGGACCTGGGTGTCACTGCTGGAAGCAGGACAGGTGCGGCACAGGGGAGCGTCTGCCACTCGGGTCCAGAACTTCTGGCCGTGGCTGCTCAGAGCTGCCAACCTTCAGCTACTCTTACATCGGATTCTCACTCAAGCCTCCTGATTTTTGAAAGTGGTGGCAAAATGTCTTTTTTTTTTTTTTTTAATGCATGCGAATATGTGAGTGCTGGTGTGGCTCACAGGCCAAAGTTGGCCCAGAGTCGGTACAATATGGTGTCCTTGAGACGGAAGTGAGGCTGGGGATTGGATTCAGCTGGGGGGAGAGGCGTGGAAATGGCGTCTGTGAAATTGAAAGGAGACTCGCATGTGCTGGTTTCTGGCTCATTCGGGCCACGTGGCGGGCTCGTGGCGGGCTCGTGGCCAGAGCTAAGACCCTGCTGGCATCACCAAATCCTACAGGTGATGTAAGTAAAGGAACCAGCTCAAGAGTAACTGTTCTTCCAAACTAGCACCCCAAAATTCAGCACAAATCACCCAGAGCTGTGTGCCCCAAGAGTTGCTTCCATCCAGCTGTGGCTAGCTAACCCAGCCTCGGGGCGGCGCTGTGAAGTCACCAGCCAGCGACAGCTTTGCTCGTTGTGTGAAAAGTGGCCCTCTGCACCTGGAATCCCAGGCCAGCCTCCCCTGTAGAACTCGGGCCCTGAAAACCCTGTTTACCCGGATGGCCTGCTGTGCTGCGTGTACCTTACACATTTCCCCTTCTGCCCCACAATGAGTTCTATGTTAGTCGCTGATTAAAGAGAAGACATTGGAAAGATCCCACTGCATATTGGTTACATTGATCAGCGTTTATTGATTGAGAAAATGACAAAAACTTTCATGAATTCAGAATCCCTTTTAGATTAACTTGGTTTGTCTGACATCTATTAGAATATATAATACATTTTTAAAGGTTTATTTATCTATTTGAAAGAGAGAGAGGGAGAGACACAGAGGTCTTCCTTCCAATGGGTCACCCCTCACCTGGCTGCAACGGCTGGGGCTGGGCCAGGGGCTGGAACTCCATCCAGGTCTCCTACGTGCGGGAGCCCAAGGACTTGGGCCATCTTCCACTGCCTTCCCAGGCACATTATCAAGGAGCTGGACTAGAAGTGGAGCGGCCGGGACTGGCACGATGCTGGCCCCAGAATATGGGGTACCTCTCTAACCCCTGAGGTCAAGTGTGCTGCTGGCTGTGGAGTCATGGTAAACCTATTTGCACGCGGGCATCGGGGGAAGGGGTCGTGTTCGATTTGGCTGTGTGTGTGTGAGCCCAGGTGTCAGCCTCGGATTCCTCTCAATTCCAATTCCGCGCAGTCTGGGTGGCCGTCTCCGTGGGTCGCTCAGACACAGACCGTTTCTGCCCACGGCCCACACGCGGCTGCCGGGGAGCCTAGGGGGAAATGCAGCCGTTAGGCTTAGCGGTCACTTGCCCAGCTGAGAACTATTTCAGTGTGGGAGAAGAGGAAGGAGATACCGCGGCGTGGGGGGGGACCAAATGTCTCGGCCGCGGCAGCAGCTCTCGGCTGTTGGAGGTTGTGTCGGGTCAGCCTGAGCTGGGGAAGACGAACTCAAGCAAGCAGCCGGCATTTCGTAATAAATCGTGCTTTTAGTGTATTAGATATTTTAACTGGAAAAATGAAACTACAGAACGTGGACAACAACCTGGTGGCATCTCACGGTATTTAACTGAGCCGAGGCTACGGGAACGGCTGGACTCCTGCGTCTGCTTTATTTATTTCTGGGACAGAGAGAGATGGCTCCTGTCTGTGGGTTCCCTCTCCTAAGTGAGTGGTGAGCAGAGTAGGGGCTGGGAATGCAATCCTGGTCTCCCACGTGGGTGGCGGAAACCAATCCCTGGAGCCACCCCCACAGCCTCCCAGGGTCTGGATTGGCAGGAAGCCGGGCTCAGGAGCCAGAGCTGGCTGCTGAACCCCGGCCCCTGATGGGGGATGCAGGCATCTTAGCCAGGAGGCAAAGCCAGGCTTGATGGATGGAAGCGTCGGTCGGGACAGCTGTATTGTCCCTTCCCCACCAGATTGCGTAGACTCACCCGAGGGTCCTCGTGGAGAAAGGGTTGGAGGCCCCGAGCTGGCTTCCGAGGGCCTGTCCTGGCCGCTGACATCTGAGTTGCCTGGCGAAGAGCTATCACCTCGCCACCCGCGCCCTGGCCTCACCCTCGTCATCGCGGGGCCCGGGCTCGTTGGCCGATGCCGATGGGCTTGCTCACATCCCACACTGTCCTCTCCCGTCAGTCACTTCACAAACCCTGCCTGTTTGGAAAGACGTGCACTTTCTCCGCAGTCTCGCTTTGCGTCGTCCCGTGTGTGCCACAGAGCTCGACAGGCCAAGGAGAGGTGCTTGGTTCATGAGGGATAAACATCAGTTAGTGGAGAATCCCGTGGGCGGCTGCTTCGGGCGCTGGGGGCTTGGTTCTGCGGCACGAATGTCCCCGCAGGGACAGAGGCCTGGTGAGCCTTCGCAGAACGCTTGGTCATCCGCGAGCGTGTTCTTGAACCAGCTGCTGCTCCGACTGCGCCCACGGAGTTCATGGGTAAGGTCAGCAAAGGACCACGTGAACCTCTGCCCCCCAGAGACCTCCAGTGAAGGTCCCGGGGCTTCGCGGCCTGAGACCTCTCCCTCTGCTTTGCCAAGTGGCTGAGAGCATGGCTTGGTCGGGGTTCGAATCCGGGCTCTGCCACTTCCTGGCCACGTGAGTTCAGACGATTGTCTTTGACTTCCACAGCTTGGTTGCTGCAAGTGTGGGTCGTGCTGTTTGCCCAGCTCAGAGGGTTTCGTGAGGGTTCGGTGTGTTAGAACAGCGTCTGGGCCAGGCTCAGCCCTTGAGAAATTTTGCTACAGTGATGTGTGAAGTAGCACGGGATGACACAGGCCACCTGGGGCCGATGCTGTCAGTTACCAGCCGAGGCGCACCTGCAGCAGGCCACGGCCGCCGCCTGACATCCGCATCTGTCAGCGTGTCGCTGCTGGAATAAAATGCCTGGGGCGGGCTGCTCTGCAGGGGAGAGGTTGGATTGGGCTCTGAGACCTGCAGGCACAAGGTCCCCGGCACGGCGCAGGCTGTGGGGGGGCGTCCTACACTGCCGCACCTTATGGCAGGAGCAGGTGCCTCCCTGTGTGTGCCGTCTCCCCCGTCAAGCCACAAGGATGGAATCGCGGGGGCTCTGCCCCCACCCCGATCAGGCCTGACCACTTCCTGTTGGCCCCACCTCCACACCAGAGACGCTGCCACCCCCACTCCCCTGTACCTGAGCTTTCAGGACTTTGACTCCTGCAGGAGTTCAGGGGAATGAAGTCATCTTCAAGCTTTAACAACCTCACTGGCCGCCAGCCCGGTGCCAGCAGAGTCAGCACCTCACGGGCATATCCCCTGTCCCCACAGCCACCGTCGAGTGGCCCCTGCGTGGGCGAGGACCAGGGCGCCCAGGAGGTGGCACTCGGAAGAGCAGTTTGCTGGCTCCTGGCGCAGAGGAAAGAGACTGCACCTGCTGGCAGGCAGCAGTGTGCTCAGGCCGCGAACCCCGAGTTTCGCTTCAGGAACGGGGGACACTAGCTGGCTGCCCTGTTCGCTCTCCTTCTGTGCTGGTGGCCCGGGGGCACCCCAGCCACGAATTTTCCTTCTCTCTGCTGGAGGGACACAGGCGAGCTTTCAGGCAGAGTCGCAGCCGTGGCGTAGCAGTGTCATGACTTTGTCGGAAGGCTCAAGGTCTTGGGATGGTGACTGGCGCTTCCAGGGGCCCCGGGCCTCCCCCCTCCCATCCAGCCTTATCGAGCAGCCGCCTTTTCCCAGATTCCTGAAACTCTGAATCTCCTTCTGATTGGCCTGGCTTGAGACATCTGCCAACCCCTGCACCAGTGGCCGGGCAGAGCACCTGGAAGCTGTCACGTAGCTTAGCCTGGGTCAGCTGTCCCTGGGGCAGCAGCTGCGAGTCCTGGTCCCCCAGCCCCTGAACCCCCCAATACAAGGGACTTAAAGAAGTTTGCAGAAAAATGTGTCCACTGGGTGAGTGTTGTGGCACAGCGGGTTAACCACGGCTTGGAGCCACATCCCTTCTTGGATGCCGGATTCAAGTCCTGGCTGCTCCAGCTTCCTGGGAGGCTAAGGTGGTGACCCAAGCTCTTGGGTCCCTGCCACCCATGTGGCAGATGGAATTCCTGGCTTCGGCCTGGCCCAGCCCCAGCTGTTACAGGCATGTGGGGGTGTGACCCAGCGAATGGAAGGTGTGTGTGTGTGCGTGCATGTGCCCTCTCTCTCTGCAGTTCAAAGGCATAATCTGTTTATTGGGAGCAAAAACTTGCACGCCCTACATAGTTGTTCGGTGCGTTTCTACCCACGTCTTGAAGGCCCACGTGGCTACTGAGACTACTGGGAAGGAAGGGGAGGGGAGGGGAGTGCGAGTTCCCGCTGCTCTGGGGGGACCAGGAACCAGACCCCTCCCCTGCCGTCTCTGGCGAGCGCAGCCGCGGTGCCCGTGTTCTGGTCCAGGTTGTCCCCTCAGCCCACGTTGCCATCGGAACCTGGCTGTGGTGAGGCGGCTTCTGCCTCTGCCACAGACTTCTGCAGAGATGGCAGTGAGCTCGCTGCCCGTCCCCTGTCATCTTCTAGAATGTTCCGGGGAGCAGCCCTCCATGTGAGCCCGTGCTTTGCCTGGGTTCC